ACTGCAAAAGCTGTTGGCAATACTAAAGATTTCCGTATGGCGTATACGTGCTAATGTGCAAGGGCATCAACCATCAGTAAATGCGGCGCGTAAAGCGTGTACGGTGCTGATAAATATGCGTTCACCTTAAAACAAGGGCTGGTGTGGAGTGCAATCACTGTGAAAAATTGGTACAGTTTAGCACAGTATATGCCAGTCCTACGAACGAGCAGATATCTGAACTAGGCACAACGAACAACTTGGACGTGAGAGGACTGCTACAATCTATCGCCAAAACGACGTTCGATCACAATCCCAGTAGATGAATATAATGAACCTTTAGTAGCTTCATCTGCCGGTAATTTTCAAATTGTTCGAAATCAGTCATTAAGTCGCACCGCCGGAGACACGGGCTGTCAATTTTCTGCAAAGGGAATGACACTTCATTAAATAAAGAAAGAGTTTGAGTTTTTGATCTTTGCAACTATTGCCTTCAAATGCTTGAAGATGGTGTGATGGCGTCCTGACCCATGCAAGAAAGATTTTATTACTTGTCTTCTGCAGATAGGAGACAACGTGGTGATCTAATTGCGTAAGGAGAGTGGCTCCTAGCAATTCCAGTTTTGCAATTTTAAGGAGTATTCATATCGGGTAACTGGTTTTAGCCATTAGATGGACGATGCAATCTTTCTTTTAATTGTGGACCATTACATACACCACAGAGCATAACCAATCTCTGACTCGTCGCAGAAATCATGCGCTCTATATGAGGTTGCATTAAAGGCATAATATGCCGTGAAATAGCAATTAGATCGTTAGTAAATGCAAGCCACTTCTTTTTAAGTCCAAGGGTCAAGGCATCATCCCAGCTTAGTTACGATAACCAAAGATGTGAATAAATAGCTTGATCTTTAAAACTATGGAGGCTATCCATCCACTAGGGTCGTATATACGGGCCACAATTGAAAAGACTTTTCCCTTAGTAGGTCTATCACACGTTTTTGAAGAAAATTTATAAGTAAAGGAATCATTAATAGATTTTTTTTTATAGGAGAGGAGGCAAACGGCCATGCGGCTCACATAAGTAAGTGACTACCGCCGCCCATGAACAACTGCAACACCAGGGAAATAGCAGATTCGTTGCCGGCCTTTTAAAAAGGAGTAGGCTCTTTTCTTGAAGGTCCCTAAGTCGTATCGGTCCGGAAAAATCGCTGGTGGTAATCAATTCCACAAGGAAGTTGTGCGAGGGAGAAAACTTCTTCTAAATCGCACAGTGGTGGACCGCCAATCATCCAGATGGTATGGATGATATCGCGAGTTTTGTCGCGATGTGCGATGGTGAAATTGAGCGGCTGGGATTAGTCCGAACAATTCCTCAGAACACTCCCCGTGACAGATGCGATAAAATACGCAAAGAGATGCAACATCTCTACGCACTGCCAGTGAGTCAAGCCGATCGGAAAGAATTCGGACATCGACGATTCGAACCACTCAGCGCAGGATGCGGTCAAGTGGAAGGAGCTGGCACTGGGGAGCCCCTGCCCAGAGATGGGAACAGTATTCCATGTGAGGCTGAACCTGCGCCTTGTAAAGTTGCAAGCGGTGTGCGGGCATGAAATACTGTCCCGCTCTGCTGAGCACGCCAAGCTTTTTAGAGGTCAATTTGGCCTTCTCTTCCAAGTGACCACGAAATTGCACGGCACTCGATATGTCGACGCCGAGGATTCCGATACTGGCTGAGTCAACAAGGGGAGTGCCTTGAAACTGAGGAGATACGACAAAGGGGTTCTTTATATATTTTCGATATTCCTACATAGAAAAAAAAAATAAGATTCATAGGATTATATTGGACTCCAAGAATAGTTACAGACTGGATGTTATCGCCATCTTTAATTGAATAAAGCTCGTTTGAAAAGGCATCTAAAATTTTACGACTGTTGGAGAGTCAGTTACTGTGCTTATATCCTCCGGTAGCCACCGTAGGACACAACTTTTAAAATCGGAGCTTCGGAGCTTTGGCTTTGGCTTCCGAGATTGTAGCAGCACCACTTAATGAGTCGTCGACGTAAATATCTGATTCTACTATTTCATACCGTAAGTATTTGTATTCAGCTCATCTATACATATAATAAATCTGTAGAAGTCGTGTCTGTAACTAGAATATATTCTTAAAAAAAAACAAGTCCAGGGGACTAAATAAAGGGCTCTGAAGCCAAATCAGTGGTTTTAGAATTTTTGTCTGTTTGTCTGTATATTCCTGATTCACGCAAAAACTACTGGACCGATTTACATGAAATTTTGTCAACATTTAACGTAATTAACGCACACCCTCAGACACCCCAATCAGTATATTATTATGTTATAATCATAATACATACACTGACTTTTTAGTTAAACATATTTATGCATAGATTATTTATTGAATTAGTTACACTAATTCCGGAAGAAGTTGTGGTCACAGTACAAATCTATGAACGCACGACGCGCGATTGTTTACGTTAAAAAATACCTACCTATGAACATTAAGCGATGTCTGAATGAACTCCGAGCATCCAGTTGTTTAATTAAGTCTAGTAAACATTTGATTTGTTATCTTTCCATCACACTTTTCAGGCTTTGGACAGTCGATTCTGAATAATTTTGATTATTGATACAATCAATATTAATAGGCAATATATGTTACAAAATGTTATATAATAGTATAACATTTTAAAAATGAACTGAACACAGGCCTGCCGCATAAATTGTCAAGTAGCTGGATATTTGCTATAGATGCTACGTTTGGTAGGCGGGTTGGCAACCGCAGTCTTTATTATTTTGATCTGTTGTCAGAAAGATGATGCTGTCCATCTCCTGTTTATTTTCATATGTCGCCTCTTACGACGGGACGATATGAGGTGGCGGATTCTCTTTCACTGCCACAACAAGGCGAACATTTTTCTACTCCCGTTCATGAGTGTAGTGCTTCCCACGTCACGTACACTGTGAATAAAATTTATAAGGAATAAAACTAATTTTAAGGATCTTATCGGGTTCAATTTTAGCTTTTTTAATTCCCGATGTTTTAGGCACTTTACAGCACCCATGGTCACGGGAGGACTGAGGTTTTTGACCTGATATCATAGTTAGAATAGAATAAGTGCAGAAGTATGCTTGGGTTTGAATTTAATTTTATTAATTATGGGGTCCTTAGCAGATGGTAGCACTTAGCCATCTTCCCTATTAAAATTAGGATTTTTTTTTAATTTCAATAGCTCCGCGAATATTCATTGGTAATGTTCGGGGTTGTACCAACACTAAGATAAACTGATAACGCTTGATAAGTCTGATAAAATATATTTAGCCTACTATTTACACCTACTACTTTTTATAATGGCGTACATAAAAAATAGTAGGTGTTTCTAGACATGTATTCACGTGTTCCTGTAGCATATTATATCTATGCCAAATACCTAATCTACACCTAATAGTCTTTTAGAATTTAAAAAAAATCTTTGACAGACATAGAGACACAGATTAACTTTGCCACGCGAGCGAAGCTGCGGGTAAAAAGTTAGTATGTAATATTAGCGTCTGAAGAGGTTTCTCGCCACAATATTAGTAGGCGTCGCCAGTCATCTGAATGAATCCAGGTCATACGTAATATCATGCTAATAAGTATAACAAAATCAAAAAGGTTTTAATAAGACATTTATTTTCATCCAACAGATAATGTTTATTTTTTCTTTCTCAGATTACATTACAGGACAACAACTCTTTGGTCTGATTTGATACTACAGGTTGCTACAAAATACAGCTGTTATATTTTATTTTATCAAAAATTCATAAAATCTGAACATGTTGCACACTTTACCTACATATTTCCTGCTTATATTTTCCCGGTGTCCATAATCCCAATGTTCATAGCATATAGCGTAATGTATTGACACAGTTTAAGTTCTTGAAAAATAACATCAATGGTGTTCCATCTTTGATTATTTCAATACTTTCATCCAAAATTCTGAAATACAAAATTGTCAATTGTCACCACAATGGAGATCGAGATATTTTTAACTTATTTAAAGAAAACCTATATAATAATATATACTGATATGTAATAAACATACCTAAGTTAGAGTAATTACATACATATGTATATATAGAGGGTATCTACAATTCTACGAGGGAGTCAGTATATTATGTACTTGTCTCACTTTCTAACTTTATTTTCAAATAAGGCAAAAAGAGACAAACCTATTTAAAGTGTTATGTGTAATTCATGTATGTATAATTTGTAAAAGATAGAAGGTGATAATAACATAGGTATCTTATTTTGTACATATTATGCATAAAACGTTCAAACTACAAGAACTTCGTTCTTATTTTAGGCTTCCCTCTATGCTAGTAATTACTTTGAGAAAGCTAAATAAATCTACCAACAGTTTTCACAGATTAATAAACAAACTTATAAACAACAACCCCGTGACGGCTATGTGGCGCTATAGCTTATCAATGAGTTATGGCGCTAAGGGCCATGGGTTTCAATCCCGCACAGAACCAGTATTTGTATGGGCCTACAAGTAATTGTCAGGGGTCTGGATGTTTGTCCTTGTGCAATTTATGTATGTAAACTGCCTCCACAATACAGGAGAAAATCCTAGTGTGCAGGTCACATTTTAAAAAACCTTATTAGAATAAGCAGCCAATATTAATAGTTTAAGCTAGAATTTTAGTGTTTAAATAAATTACTTAAATTACCATCAGATGGGAAAACATATTGCGACAACTGTGAAAGTATACTTCATCATAAATTTAAAAAAAAAATCTACTTTGCCTATATAAGAAACCATCTACAATCCTAAAAAGGATATTTGATGTTAAAATTGTTTATCATGATGATGCTGTGACAATTAAGCTAATCTTCCAGTGTGCACCAACAAGTGCAAATATTTCAAACAGTTAATCTAAAGGATAGTCTTTTTCCATCTTGTGCTATAAGTGTCCATTCTATACTTACAGTCTTAAATACAGTTACTCCCATGTTATGGAGTAACTGCTGGCTTTAAATTATTTTCACCATTTTCTTCCCAATCTTTTTTGAAAGTTTCTAAAGCTTTCTGTAAGGTGTTAAAGGTTACTGGCTTTATGTCATCATCTTGATGTGGTTGCTGCAGTTGACTTTGTATGCTTTCCTCTGTAAAAAAAACAGACACATTATATATACAGGATTATTTTGCAATAACTGGCCAAATTTACAAAAAAGGTTCAGAATAAGTAATGTAGGCAAATGGTGAAGAAAAATTTATTTAAAAATTCTGTCCTTTTTAACTTTATATTCAAAATGCGTGATAATGCATTATTTTAACTGATTTTACTGGGCACGCACACATTCGTAAGGGTCGATCAGTAGGCATAAACATTGTTTTCCCATAAATCACACATTATATCACAGAAAAGCAGGTCTCACAGAATACTAGCGTAAAATAGCAGCTTACCACTGCTGTGTTTCGTATGGTGAGTGTAGAGAACCGGAGACCCTTTTAACTGGAAAAGAGGCATTTCATCTTAGTCCGTCATGGGTGACAACACATCAGCATTTTGATTCGCAAACAAGGGTAGATGTAGATGTCTATGGGCCACAGCAACCACTTACCATGAGGTGGACTGTGTGCTCGTTTATCACCCTTATTCTATAAAAAAAAAAGTTTAGGGACTGCAAAATTCGGATTTATCCGAATTTTGCTTTTGATGATGTTTCCTGTGGCTGGATAAGTAATTTTGGAAAACAATCAATTGCAATGCTTATCTATACTGAGTATTGAAATATATTTAGTGATTTTAGACACATTGACAATACTTTTATATAGTAATATTCAAATTAAATTTATTTCACACATTAAAATAAATATATATGTGAATATATGTCAAAAATGACATCCACACAAAGTGAAGCCACACATAGTAGTGCCATAAACTCTCAGCTCCTAAAAATCATAAGTAATTGTTCAACTGAGAAAAACTTAGTATACAAAGTACTAAGTTTTTCTCAGTTTGAGTAGTGTTTTGTGTGTGTTTTATTTGTCTACTTAAAATGAATAATTACAAACTTTTGATATCATAAATGAAAAAGCTTTGGATTATGAGGCAAAAGAAACTAACAAAATATACATCACATACTTTAGTTTAGTGTTTTGGAAACAATATGTTGTTAGGCATATATCTGTTAAGTTGCATTAATGAAAATTAAGTAATTGATATCATAAATGAAAAAGCTTTGGATTATGAGGCAAAAGAAACTAACAAAATTTACATTGAACCTCCAGGTAATGGACTTTTATCAGATTGTAACAAAGAATAATGTGTCATTAACTTATCTTCTTTGGCATTTGTGCTGTAAATGAGATTCAGAATTTATAGTAAAAATAAGTTTAATAAGTTTACTGCAACATCTTCTGCAACTGTATACAAAGTTTACTGCAATATATTATGCAACAGAAGGAACAGCGAGGTTACCATGATAATCTATTCAATCCATAGTGGCATTTGTGCTGTGCACTGGAATCATAACAGTGCCAGTGCATATGGAGTGGAGTCTATACAAATTACAAAGAAATACTTAGCTGCTCAAATACAACGAATAAACATGCTACAACTCAACACTTATAATAATCCAATACAATCATTTTAATGGGTCACATTGACCAGTATCTGGACAATAGTTATAGTTCTGGTTAATAATGCTACCCTTTTGACTTAGAATTTCTCAGAGGATAGATATGTCGGAGTTTCAAAATAGCATTGCCCAAACCCTGTTTTAATATTACAGCAATAAAAAGCAGCATCAATCAACCTAGCAAGTGAGCTTCTATGAATGTATGTATTTAAATACAAAAGCATAAGACATGATCTACATGGCATCAAGAAGAATGCCATGTAATATATTTCTGTCCTTTGAACATGCAAAACCTAATAGTTACTTTTTGTCAAAAAATGTGAGATAAATTTGCATTCCAAATCTTTCTCTATACTTGTTAAGTGGCGAAGCTTGCGAAGTCACTTATTGATTTCACGATGTCTGTCCGTCTGTCCCACGATTATCTCGAGAACGGTTTCGAATTTTCAAATTCTGTTTTCAGCAATCGATTACTCCCAGGCATCTGAACCTCCTATTTTGAAACTGATTGCTCAACGGCAACCGTTAGAAAGCACTACAAAGCTCATTGCTTCGCCACTTTGCTATGCTGTTAGCTTGCTAGGTTTATTTTATTCTTAAATCTTTATATAGGTACCTATAAATGTGGGATATTTACCTGTTGTTTTATTTTTGAACATGTCTAACAAGTAAATAATTAACAAATATTTTTTTACCCCCGACGAAAACAGAGTAGTGTTATGTTTGTAGTGTGTATCTGTGTGTCTATCTGTGGCATCATAGCTCCTGAACGGATGAACCGATTTTGATTTAGTTTTATTCGTTTGAAAAGAGTCTTAATCGAGCTTGTTCTTAGCTATGATTCAAGAAAATCTACTCAGCCGTTTGAAGATCATCAGCTCTTTTTGTTTCCGGGGTTTTTTTAACTTTTAATTTAAGTTATACTATATATAGTGTATCATAATACAAGGGCATCAAAATAATCATATTTGATACTAAAATAGTGCTAAGTATATGTATTAAAAACTTAAACTTAAGAGCTATAAAAAACAAGGTACCAATGAACTTTACCTGAGCCTTCTTTTGGAGCTACGTATGCATGCTCCATACACAAGAGCTTTGTTGTTTTGTGAAGGTATTTTAAATTCCTTTCTGGTAATTTATCAAATAAGGGATCCGCACAATGTGGGGAGGGGTCTTCTTCAAAAAACAAGTATGTTCCTAATGGATTCTCAAATTTACCTAGATTAAACAAATATTGACAGTAAACTTAAAAGGTTCAAAAAAGAATTGAGTAGAATTTTCTGCTTCTAACAGAATTATCATAAATTTAGATTAAATTAAATGTTTTTTTTTTTAAAATAATGATGTGATTTTAGCTTTATACCTGTAAAAAACGTATCATCCAACTGTACTATAGGGGTTTTCCCATCAATGCCCAAAATGTGAATGCTTTTATATTTTTCGATATTTACACTATCTTTAAACTCTGCGTAAACCAAAATCTCTTCCTCCGAATCTGATGTGGTATCGTTCATGATGAAAAAAATACATAAACTTCTCGACCAAAACAATTAGGCGCATGCCATGGGCCATGGCACAAACAAACAAACATGCGTACACAAACTATATAGAAACACTACGCGTTAGGGATGTGAAAAAATAATCGATTTTCATATTAATCGATTATTTTTTCTTATAATCGATTTTTCGAAGTCGATTTTTTTATAATAAAAATCGATTTATAATAAATCGATTTTTATGTAAATTACGCGTTTCAATCGATTTTTGTAATCAGAGTCATATGTGCGATGGATGTAAAAACGTGAAGTAAGTTCAATAACATGAATAAGTCAATCAAAAGACGGCGCCACCTTTATGTATCTCTATGTATGTAAAACAATTTCGCTTTTCGTATGTTTTCAACAGGTTTCTTCCTTCGCTAGGAGTAAAAGTATTCTGTGGTTTTCTTTCTTTCTTTGGTTAGTGTAAACAATTATATATAAACAATAAAAATGTCTTGTGAAACGCGTAAAAGTGACTGACAGAAGTATTTTATAATGAAAAAATGATAGCGGCCAACACGTCAATAGGCAAAAATACTGAATTGGATCTATATATTGCGGCACCACTATCAAATCTCAAGGCAGATGCCCTTAATATATTATGGAGAAGCTCTGAAGGAACTTTCCCTAAACTGATCGAATTGGCTTTTAAACACCTCTCAGTGATGGCCAGTTCCGCGCCAGTCGAAAGATTATTTTTGAAAGCGGGAAATATTGTCAGGAAAAAACGAAACCGTATTTTGGGAAAGAGACGAAGAAGAATTTTAGTGAAATGATTGTTTTTAAAGTCTTTAACTGAAAATTCATGGCAATATTTTTTTTACTTTTTTGTTTACACAAGTTTAAAAAAAGATTTGTCTTGTATTTTAGTTTTGAGATCAAAAGGTTGTCGTCGGATTATTTATAATTATATTTTTATTTTATTTTCATTCTAATCCAATGTAAATGATACTGAACATTAGTGGCATAATAATATTTAGACTTTTTGTTTGTTGAAACTTAGTTTAAAAAAAACTATCGTTTACTAAAATTAAGGTTTCTTAGTGATTTCTTATATTTACGCGAAGACTACACATTAAGTGAAATAAATTTTTACGGATTTGATCACGCTTAATTTAACTTTTTAATTCCTGACCTTTCGGGTGCTCCATAGCACCCATGGTCACGGGGGGAACTGAGGTCTTTGACGTCCAGATGTCATAGTTAGCCTGGCTAAATTCAGTTTTTAAATATCAATTTTTGGTCTGATCTACGCAGAATGAGCTTACAGTATCTTGAAGTCTTACAAACCCAAGCATACCAATATGCTTGGGTTTGGATTTAATTTTATTAATTATCGGATGCCAAGCAGATGGCAGCACCCATCCATCTTCTCTATTGAAATTAGGATGTTTTTTAATTTCGATAGCCTCGCGAATCATCCTTGGTAGGAATCGGTGTTCTTTTGCGAGGATTTGTGGTTCAACTATGACATTGGGACGTCAAACACCTCAGTCCCCTCTGTGACCATGCGTGCTGTAAAGCACCTGAAATGTCGGGAATTAAAAAGTTAAATTAAATGCGATAAAATCCGTAAAACTTAGTTTAATTTATCGTTTCTGTTTATTTTGGTTGTAATAAATTGTTAAATGGTACTGAACATTTGTGGCAGTAATTATTTTTAGTTTCTTATTGTTCAAAGTTATATGTTAAAAAAATTGTTCTGTAGTTTATTTCTAAAACCAGAAGATTATTTTTCGAATAAAATATTTTTTTTCGTAAAAATCGATTATTACTTTTATAAAAAAAAATCGATTTTTCTTACATCGATTATTATCACAAAGCAAAAAATCGATTTTTTATTAATCGATTTTTTTCACTCAATGTCACATCCGTACTACGCGTTCATGCGTACTAGTGATGAGTCAACTCGAGTTACTAACTCGAGTTAGCCCGAAATGCGCTAAACTCGAATTAACTCGAGTAGGATCTCCCCATGAAGTTATAGATAAATAACTTCAGTTATAGATAAATAACTTCATGGATCTCCCTAACTCGACTTTGGGCTGCTGTACATGAACAGATCAAGTGAGCCAGCAAAAGAGTAAGAGCGCGATTCGTTCGTTGGGTGCGCGCTTTAAGTTTCAAAGAGTATTTAGCTACAACCAAAACAATTTCTTATTTAGAATTATATAATAGCTAAGTTATGTAATTTAATTTCTCCTATAATTTAGATTTATTATGATCAATATAGTTATGTACGTCACAAACTTATTATTATTTTAAACCTACTGTATTACCTGAAAATGGTGGCAAGTTGTAAGATACATCATATTTTAAATTAACCCCAAATGTAACACTAAGATTACAATACATATTTAAATTTTGAATTTATTTAAGAATGTTTTGACTGTTATAAATAAATTATTAATAGCTTATGTACCTTTTTTTTACATGGGGAAATGCCTACGCATACCCGCCTCGCGGGTCAAGGACGGGTTATGTTGGACTCGCACCGACTAAAACCCCATGGTGTTCTACTTTCGCCGCATATTGACAGAGCCACGGGAACGCTTTCGCACACATCCGCGGCCCCACCAGTGCCGGCCGCCCCACGGCAGCCCCTTCTCGGGGGAGGACCTCTCCTCCCCATTCTCCTTCACAGGCAAGGCGCACCAGAAACACAAGGCACGCCCCCCTCCACAGCCACAGGAAAATCGAGCGCTTAATAGCATCCGCTTTCCCAACCCCAGCGGCGGATCTGGTCTCTGGCTCCACCGCCAACCAAGTTTCGGGCGCGGAGGGTAGGGAGAGCGGCTTCTCGCAATACTGACACTCCTCTCCCCCCGCCACCCCACCACCACCGCATCAAGGGTGCGGCACCGTCAGAGTCGCAGAGGATGGGGCGAGTGGCACATCGCCATACTAACACTCCTCTTCTTTCGCTACTCTACCTCAGCTGCAGCGGAAGGGGGAGAGGACACCCCTCTCACCGCAGCCCACCGACACACATCCGAAGTGGGCTTACCAAGCCCACTCAGAGTGTGCACCTCGGGCCGGCCCTACACCACGGGCCAGCCAAGGGGTTCCTTTTTGTTCAACGCGGGTGACCTAGCCATGGCTACTAAGCCCCCCCCCCCTCCCCCGCCACAACAAGGCGGGAACCCGTTCGGGGGGGGGGGGGTAATAGCTTATGTACCTACCTCTTAAAGCTAGACTAATATTGTTAGGTGAAGACTATATATACTAAGTATACCTTTTTATTTCAACCCTACATAATAAGTTTAGTAATTATAATTATCCCAACCCACCAAAGAGCTAGACCGAAAAACAAATTTATAAAAATGTAATTTGCAACAAATCATTTACTCTGTTTCGTACTGCTAGCTCGAGTTGCGTGAATTTCAAATCGAGTTAACTCGAGTCGTGATTTTTCCGAGGTGGCACATCTCTAATGCGTACTATGCCGGTGTATAGGTTTGAGCAAATAATATCGTTATTTTTTGATAAAAAACATCGATATATATCGTCGATATTTTAAATCGTGATATATCGATATTTATTATGGAGTATGGAATTCGTATTAATTTCGATATATTTTAAAATGTTGTATTAATCGCATACGCTGCGGAAACTATTGATAATAGCGCAAAGTAATGTACTTCAGTTTTATAGAGGATATCAATATCTACAAAAAGTCTGCGATAACTATTTCAGTTATGTCACAATAACTACTTTCTCATGTTAAAATGTGAAATAGTAACGCCGATACAAACTAGGCCACATTATTCGTATCAGTAACTGTATCATGCATACACACCAATTACGTTAACCATGTAATTTTAGTAACATATTTCACTTTTTAAATCTTTGTTAATTCAGCAACCGTCCGTCGTGATGTCTCTCTCGAAGTTCGCATGTCGCAAGGCGCAGACGCGTGATATACGCGGGTGAAACCGCGGGGCACAGTTAGTTTTGACTAGATTTCTTAAACAATAAATATCGGGCTTAAAATTTATTAGTTCTTTTTAAGTTTAAGCTGAACATTACAGTTTTTTTAACTGAGCTTTGATAGTAAATTCGATCGTTAATGTAATTTGATATAATTATATAATGCTAGTAATACGATTAAATTAAGGAAAAAAATATTACTTAAGCTGGCAACATTAAGTACGCCATCAGTCGCGCGCAGAGTATGGAGTGTAGAGTAGAAGGAGGACCATCTCTGTATATGAAAAGTGTCCCTAAAAACGTGTCCAATAAGGGTGGCGCTGCAGTAGCATAGGATAAATTAAAAAAGAAGCGCCAAAAGTATTTAGAGTAAGATGGAGAAATAAATAAGGACCGATCAATCCGCTTAGTTTTGTACTACGTAAATAGTTGAGATTTTGTATATTGGCGTTTTACTAACTACTCTAGTCATAAAATGTTTGAATTCAGCTGACTTCACTCCGTTCATAACAGCTATCTTCATATCGTAGTTTTTCAGACGCCAGCGCTATTGTGGTAGGTTTTGGAACCTCTATTTACAGTAAATAGTAGGACACTTTTTCAACCTTCGCTCCTTATAAGATGGTTCTCCTTCTACTCTACACTCCATAGCGCAGAGTTATCTTGCGCGCGTTATACTAGCGCAGTCTGGTGCCATTTCGGCACAATATTCTGAGAATGTTGTGATTCATTACGCTTTATGTACTAGGATTAATGATCAACAACCAACAGTGAATTAACCTCTATTCTCTTAGTATCCTCTTACTCTTACTATTAATATTTTACTATACTCTTAATATTTTTTTACATATTCTCTAAATAAAACACTATGATTAAATAATCTTTCATTGTAAAGGTCATATAACTTTTGTATACATAGGAGTAGACAAAAGTTATACTAAAGGATTCCTACTGTTGCTCACTCATTAAACGATTTACGAACGATTAAGGAGAGTGTTTTAGAAGTAAATGGTTTATTAAATTTAAGACTTAAGTTTATATAA